CACACACACACACACACACATGGAGACACCTCCAGGAGGTGACAGGTGAAGACTGAAGATAGAGGTGGAGCTTCCCAGGCTACACTTTCAGTGGAGAAAATAAAGAATTCAGAGAAGAAAGAAAACACAATAAAAAGCAAATGCAGCAATCTCCCTTATTCTAGAAGGTAAGTTTCATGATCCTTAGTGGATGCCTGAAACTGCAGATAGGACCAAACCCTATGCATGCTATGTTTTCTCCTATACATACAAACCTGTGATAAACTTTTCATTTCTTAAAGGAAGCACTTCATGGTTTCTCTTTGGCAAATCCAAATTGCCACTATCACCATCCATGCACCTTCGAGCCAGTATTAAGTAAAATAAGGGTTCCCTGAACAGAAGCACTATCACACCACTGCACACTGCAGTCAGGTATAACCAAGACAGCTCCTCAGTGCCTAACAGGCAGGTTGTATATACAGTGTGGACACACTGGAAAAGGGTGACTCTCACCCTTGATGAGATGAAAGAAGAGAGCACAGGATTGTGTCTTGCTACTGAGAACCATGCACAATATAAAACTTATGAGTTGTTTATTTCTGGAATTTTCCATTTAATATTTTATACCACAGTTGACTAAGGATAACTGAAACCACATAAAGCAAAACTGCAGATAAGGGGGCATTACTATAATGATTTCTGTGTCAAAACAAAAGGTTTCGACAAACACCCCTCCATGTTGTAAGGGGAAAATTTGATGCCCCTAAAAATAGATTTAAATTATGCAAACTGAATAATAGGATTCCCTGAAGGAATAGGAAAGGTAAGTAACCTTGAAATCATGATTAAGGAAATAACTGAAAAAAATATTTCCCAGATCTAGAGAGATCTCAGCAAAGAGAAAGAGAGAGGGAAAGAGAGAAAAATTCTCAGGATTCTGGCCGGAAATGTCCATAAAAGAAAAGCCCCAAAGCATGTAATATAGTATAGAGAGAAAGATATTGAAAGAAAACAGGATTAAGACAAAGGATGATTAATTGGGAGAGAATCAAGGGAGCAAGGAAGAATTACAGAGGGAAGAGATCGAAATCTGGAGGTAACAAACCTGGCTTGGCACTGGGCTCTGCCACATCATGGCCATATGGCTTAAGTGACCACAGCATCCTGGCTAACTTCCTCCATCCCACAATTGCCTCATCTATGAAAGCAGGGTGATTTTGTCCGTCTCCTATGGTAGTTCCGGGGATTGAGTGAGATGACCTATACTTGCAGATTTTAAGCATATCTGGGCTTTGATGGGGAAGGGAAGGGCTGAGAGGAGCTTGGAGATAGAAGAGTGCAGCTCTGCCCTCATTCTGCCCCTTCCGCTGAACTAAGTAGCTCCGATTATACCCACTGTACATTATTATTCTCCTTCATGAGACTTTGTAGACAATGTTATAGAGTGGAAAAATATTTTGAAAACTACTAACCAGATGAAGGTATTTAATGAACTGGGAAGCACAATCCTAAAGTCCTAAAGTATTGAAGTCCATTCATTCATCGGTTTGTCATCTATGGATTGTGCCTGGAACTGTTCTAGGCACTGGAGAGAGAGAGCAGTGAACAAAGTCGAGAGAAGACAGGCAGTCAACACATATACTAACATAAACGCACGGTGTCAAGTGCTACCAAGAAACAGGAAGTGGGGCCAAAAGGTGGGGTGGTTAGGTTGTCATTATCACAGGTGGTTAGGAAAGACTTTTTCTGATAAAGTGATGTTTGGATAGACAACAGGGATGGAGGAGCTGAGCCGTGCACATAGTAGGTGGGATACTGTTCTGACAAGCATGAAGAACAGTGAGTAAGGTGGAGCGAGGGAGGAGAGGAGGTGCTACGGCAAGATCACACAGCACAGAGGACCGTGCATCTCATTCTGAATGAACTGGGGAGATGCAATAGGAGGAACATAATCGGATTTGCCTTTTAGATGGATCATTCTGGCTGCTGGAGGTGGGGGAAACCGTGCTGCAGGAAGTAAAAGTGGAAATAAGAACACCAGTTAGAAGGGGATGGTAGAGACAGAGAAGCAGGAATGCAGAGGTGGTGGTGGTGAACAGGGCACAGACTCAGGATGTATTTGGAAATTAG